GCTCCGCAGCCCGCACTGCGCTCTCCCCTACCCCGGCACCTGAGGCAGGAACTTTTCCCTCTTCCCCGTTCAAACGTGCTGCCGTAAAGCACCCGTCTCCCCTGGCAACAAGGTTCCGGCCGAGAACTAGGTGTAGGAAGGTGATGTAAAAGTAAAACCACCCAGTGTCGTAAACCAGGTCCGGGGGGGAGGGGTGGGAGGGGGAGGAGGTGACTGGAGCATTTAGACACAAGCGAGAGGATCATGGCGGATGGCCCCAGGTGTAAGCGCAGGAAGCAGGCGAACCCGAGGCGCAATAACGGTCAGTCAGCCCGCAGGGCAGCGGCCCGCTCCGCGCCGGGCCGGCTCCGGGGCCGGGCCGGCCCGCCTGGAGTGCAGGGGGGACGGGAGAAGTAGAAAGTAATTTCCCTGCTGCTCCTCGCTGGGTGCCCGGCTCCCTCTGCACCGTTATATCCGCTACCTGGTGCCTCCCTCGCTCCCTCCCTCCGCGCTCGCTCCCTGCCTCCCTCCTCCGCCTAGTGGTGCCTCCTCGCTCAGCCGCCTGTCCGGGACCGTTACACGCTGCCTCCCCCACACGCCCGGCAGCGGCAGCACCTTCTCCTGCCGCTCCCCGGGGCTGCGGGTCCCCCCTCGCGGGGCTCCGAGCCCCTCGGGGGACCGCGGGGAGGCTCGGCCGGCCCTGGCAGCCCAACTCCCAAACTTGTTACCTGGGTGCGAGAGAGAGCGGGGGCAGGCGCCTCCGCCCCGGGCTGGCAGCGTGCGCGCCCCGGGCCGGAGCGGGGCGCCCCCCTCGCTGCCGCCGGGGCGGCTGTCTCTCTCCCCCGCGGTACTTTCCCCGCTCGCTCCCGGGGGTGCGGGGCTGGTGTGAGGCGTTACCTGGGGCGACTGGGACCCACCCGCGGAGTGTAGCGGGGTGACGGAAGGGGCTGCTGGCGCTCGGGGGCGGCGGGGCTGCACTGTTGCTTGCTGCAGTGTGTATCGATTTGCGGGGAAAACACTCCCCCCCCCACGCCCTGGGGACCGCAGTGAAAGGGGAGCCTCCCCCACCCCCTAAAATAGCCCGTTTGCTACTTTCGGAGCCGCCTTTAGTGCAGCGCAAGTTTATTTCTGTGTGTGGCCGTTGACTGGGCTGTTTCTCCTCCCTGAAAAAGTCCCGATCTCTGCAGGATTGTCGGGACAATTAGGTTTCATAGGAGTGGCGGGGAAGGGAGGGTTTCTGTCTGTGTGGCGGGGGAGGGAATGCGATTCGGTGAAGTTTCTTCCCTTCCTTTGGCTTTGGAGGTACCTGTTTGTATAATAATGGGTGGTAACGGTTTGGCCAGGGGCCCCTCTGCTGTGTGTCTGAACTGCTGCAGTCTATATAAGGAATTACATTTACATTTCAGACTTAAGGGGCTGTTTTTTGGTACGTGTGTTACTTCAAAACGCATTTTGAGGATAAATAGAGGGGGGAATAAACGCTCATAACTCCTACTCCGTGTTTATCTTCAGTAAATAAGGAAACAGCTCTGTTAGCTTAGTAACTCTTTTTAATAGGATGTTAAACGGGGGGGGGGGTTTGTAACCGTCCTTGGCAATTTTAGGTTTTATGTGGCATTTCCTGTGTAGGGTCACGGATAGGAAGGCTTTCAGCTGTGATTCTTACCGTGTGAACAGTTTCTCTCTCGCCCCCCCCCCCCCTTTTTAAATATATTTGAGTCGGGATTGATGTTTCTGATCACTGCTTCGTATTGTTTAGGTGTATAAATGCGTATGTAAACATTAGCCTTTTAAGGGACTAACAAGTTGATCTGATTGTTCTGAACTCGTGGCTCTTATTTTTACCGTATCGAGATATTATTATAGCAAGTATCGGTGTATTTAAAATTGCAGTTTTTAATTTCTTGTTTTACGTCAGTACTTATATTTAGTTGATGTGGCTTTATTAAAGGTAAGTTTAGAAAGTGCTTTTCTCTTCCACCTTATTTAAAATGTTGATGATCAGAGAAAGGGGCTTTTCTTGTTGCTGACGACATGTGTGTGACATGTGAGTCTGAACCACCCAGTGTCTGTGCAGGAGCGGTAAACATGTTTACCTGAGCAGGAAAGAAAATGGATTTTATCTTAAAGATCCCGTGATATGAATATCATCCTCTTAAAGCATATCAACAGATGACTTGCGAGAGAGAGAGGTTTTTTTTTTCCGAAAACCTAGCTTTTTGAATCAACGGGGAAAAGGTTCTCGATCGCTGCAGCAAATGGCAACTTGTGCAGGTAGAAAAAAAGATGGTGTTTAGTTTTCTCCTGCATGCATGTCAGCCCCCTCCTGTCTGCTGCTTTCATTCTCCAGGGAGGGATTTATTTACCACGCTTGCTGTCAGTGTTTTTTCCTTTGTGCTTAATATTAGAAAAACAGATTTGAGGCTGTTTAGCACAAAACGTTTTGTCTGCAGTGTGGATCGCTTGCAGAAAACAAAAGGTGTATAAGGCCATTCAGGTGTCTTTCATCTTCGTCACTTTTGGTCCTCATCATTGCACCTTTTTTGTTATCAGAGGCCTTTGATTCTTTAACTAATTTGTTGTATAGAATTTAATTTTTTTATTTTACAAATTAAATATAACTTCTTAAGCTATTGTGTATTTAAGCATGAGGCTAGGTTAGATAATAGATGCTGGATAATAGAGATTTCTCGGCAGTGGGCTTATGTCTGACTTGCAAATGTTTACTGAAGAAAATTGATAGAAAAATGTTAAACCTTTAGCACAAATAAGTCATTTGAAATTATTTCTGTGGCAAGCTTCTAAATGTATATAGATAGAGATCTTTTTGCTAATCTAAGATTAAGGAACAGTAGATCCTCTAGCCACTGTGTTACTAGGCATATGCAGTAAATTAATTTTTACTCTGTTCCTTTCTCCCTCTACGTCTCTTCCCCCTGCAGGACATTTTACTGGATGTCAACAGTGTATGGCTAGAACACCAAACTGTGTACAGTACTCTAAACTTTAACGCTGTTGCTCATGTAATGGAGCCACATACAAGCTCTAATTGATTTAGCATGACTTTTTTGATGCTGTCTATTATTATTTTTTTTAACACCTATACTTTTCTCCTTTCTTCCCCTGTTGTGAGTCCAAACTTATGGCTGCCATTCTGATACATTAACTCTGGATGGAAAGACAGCTGCGCACCTTTCTGTCTCCAGAGCTAGTTCCTTTGCTGTCTTTTGAATCAGCCAATACTGGATGCTAGCAAAAGATCTGAATGTTGCCAGTGAAAGCTTTCTAGTAGAACCAATATCTGGCACTTTCAGTTCATTCCTCAATAAACCATTGATTAAAGAGCAGCATAACACACATGAAAAGATCCAAAGAATAAATGTCTGTATAGTGTTTCTGTATTAGAATTAAATTACCAGACTATATACAGTATCAACACAAAGACTCTTGAGTGATTGTATATTTTTTGTTTAGCATATTTGTGCTGGGGGAGAGGTAGGGGGCAGGAAGAAGGCTGTGATTCTTCAGTCTGATCTGCATGGACGTTACCCTTACAACTGTGTAGAGAGCCCCTGAAAAGTCAGTGGGTCCAACAGTGTGGTTCAGCGTGCAGGCTGAGGGCCTAAGGATATTGTTTTGTCCCTGTGGCTTTAGGTCATACACCTTCAATTAAAGACTTTATTAGCATATTTAGCATGCATGGTGCTTAATTCTTATTTAAAGACAGTTCAGATATGGTTATGGTAATGATTAATAATGGTTGATGGTGAATGTCTTTTTAATTTAAAAGTCAGAAAGCAACAACTATTACTTACTTATTTCTATCACAGTATTTAAATAAACTTCTCAAGCAGGAAAGCTAAATGGACAGTAACTTAAAATAGTAAATTTCAAAAAATGAGTTTAGACATAACTACAGACACCTTGTGAGCACTACATCTTACATTGAGTACCTCTACCAGCTTTTTGTGGTGGTAAAATATTTCTCCCTTTTAAAAAATAAGTCTTGCTCCATGCAGAGGAATATGTGAAACTTACTAGCCATGCAGTGTGGTCATGTTTACAAAATTAAAAATAAGGTGGATTTTTCTCTAACCTTTCATTTATAGTAATACATAATATTACTTCTAACAATAATAGACAAACATTTTCAGGAAAGCTTTTTTTATTAGTGACTCTCTAACCATTTTACAATTGGTTTTTCTTCATTTACCATTTTATGATATTTATATATCTTCTGTATGTTAAAATATAGATTAAAAATAACACTGCTTCCAAATAAGCCAAAAGTATGACATGTCTGTTACCTTCAAGGTGTTAACAACTGGCAGGATGTCAGGTGTTAGTGATACTTTGGATACTACATTCTTTTTCATGCCTTTCTCTTCTCTCTTTCCCCCCCCCCCCCCCCCACTAGGTATCATGTTTTCACTCCAGCATTAATTTAAACTTGCAATTTGGGAATTGAGGAATGTAGCCCAAGTTAAAATTCTAGGCACAGTGAACAGGTCTGCTCAGCCAGCTGAGTTAACTGCTTGAATCCAAAGAAATCCTATATCTCATGTAAACTAAATGCAATTTTTGACATTAGGGAGATAAATACTGCATTTTAAAATCTAATCCAGTTTTCTCCTTTTTAACTTTCTTCTGGATTGTTTGTGTCTAGTATAAAAATGGCTATGAAGCCTGTTATTTGAAGTTAATCAGCTTATTTACTTCTAATAGTAGAAATATTTTCACTTCAATTTTTACAGAGCTTCTATAAGTGCATTAGTGATATAATCAATGAAAAAACTGCAAGCAGACAGAACTTCTATATAGAGGAATAGAAGTTAAATCTGACTCTAAATTACAGAAGCTTAAATTAACTTCCTCAGCCTGGCATCAGCTTTCTTATATCAGGAGTTTAGATGTTTGGGAGAGGTGGGTGTTCAATTAATTGAATGTAAATCTTTTGTTGTGAGTTAACTTTTATCATATTAAATATTCCTCCCCATTGAGAGCGTGATGGGAATCTTTCCATAGATCTCACTGGGCTTTGCATCAGGCTCTGTATGAGTGTCCCAGCTTCTGTTGACTCCTGAACTTGGGTTTTATGTCTTCAGTGGTTATCAGCCTGGTATCTAGATGTGCCTGTCTCCTTAATAATTGTATGTACAAAAGAAGATAACTTAATAAAGTTCAGGCTATTGATAGAATTTATATTCTGTTTTAGGAGGGAGGCTAGAGAGACAAGGCAGGTGAGGTAATATCTTTTATTGGACCGATTTCTGTTGGTGAGAGAGACAAAGTTTCAAGCTACACAGAGCTCTTCCTAAGGGA